CGTCGACACCGACGGAGAGCACCGATACTGCGGCTCGCTCTATCGCTCTCGCTCTCTCCCTTTCGCCCGCTCCGACCATCTTCGGCCTCGTTCGGTACGCGTCGACACCGACGGAGAGCACCGATACCGCAAATCGCTCTACCGCTCTCGTTTATTTATGATGTTCATGTTCCCCAAATGAATATCATATTTAACTAATTTGTTTAAGCCACATGTTCTTTTTAAAGATTTAGCTCTCCAGTATAAATTCCTAAGACCCTTATTTATTATTCATTTCACAAAATAATTGCAAATATGAAAGTTCTTTACCTCTTCTTGAACATTCGAATTTCATAGCCCTATACTGGGTACCTGAAAGTATTTCATTGAATTTGTGTAAAAGATTTTACTACTTCCTAAAAGATTCCGTGTGATATTTGATAGCATAAGAAACAATGTGCCGATACAGGGTATCGAGTTATTTACGAAACTAATTTGACCAGTTGCTGCATTCTTTGACACTAATTTTCAAGAAAATAAAACCTCTGTATTTCACTTAATTTGAGAGACACGTAGCTGAATATTAACATACGTTCATTATTTAATTACTCGCAATAAATAAAATTTTTGGAAGTAAATAACGTGTAAGTAAATTCATATGTAAAAATTTACCAATTGCCAGAAAGTAATTGTTCGTGCGTATTAAAATTCTTACAATAGGCAGTAAAACTATTCACACTCCCATATAAATTATAAATATGTAGATGTTAATGAAAGCGGTGTATATATTCTCCCACATGTAGATTTGATAAACTATTTATGAAACTACATCTATTCTGAATTTATCTGTTACAAATATACAAATGTAAGGCAAGATATAAAAACGAATAAAACAAGAACATGTAAAAAATAACATTAATAAAAATGTCCATTAACGATGCATTTAGAATAAATTGTCTTGTAGTTAAGTGAAAAAATATATACTTTTCCGTTTCATGTTTCATGACTGTCATATTTATCCCTTAACCTTAAACTGAAGCATCGGATATTTTTATTCTCGTGAAATCATATAGATACACGTAATATGAATGGAATATATAACACTTCATTTGTGCTAATAATACTCAGAATTCATGCTTTATCGGTAACGTCGGATATTGACACTAAAATGGTAAAAGGGCTTCTGACGCCCTCGAAGCATGGGACAGAAAATTACATTGCATGTTAGGTTTATTCATGTTGTACCTAGTCGGTGGTACAGATAACTGTGGCACGGGAAAGGAATGTCTACTGTAGCTTGAATAGCTGACCAGCAGTCGGCGCCATGAGTATTACTAACATGTAGCGTCCTCTCGCGGAATAAAATCAACATTATCTACTCTTTGTTGAAGTTAATTTTATCACAGCTGTATGTAATATGCATAGAAAGCATAATGATAAAGGAATACTACAATAGTAGTGAATAACTACAAGCTACCAATTCAATAATATTCATTCTTCATTTTAAAACTATTTTAAAATAATTCAATACTTTTATAGTAGTTTGTATATTACTGTGGCTCGTGTAATTACTTGTGTTATATAAATACATCGGCAAATCTGAGCAATCAGAACCTGGGATAATCAGCGCAGGTGATTATAAAAGTGGTGTAAGTCAGAAAAACTAAAACATAGTTGAGTTGTTCTTTCATTTTCTGTTACATCGATTTATATTTCAATGTTATGAAAGAATTCTCGAAACAAAAAATAACGACTCACGCCACTTTCATAATCACCAGCATAATTGATCGAAGAAATTTAGAACGGATTTATGTAAGTCTCAAATGGTTGAAGCAGTCGTGATTTACGGTGAAAAATGTATCAACAGTTGACTTGAATATCATCACGCGTGTTTCCCGATACGTTCTGTCGTGTATTACATTACCAGCTGTGTTGTATTAATGAAACAATAATTCATTATGTCTCGTTCTTTGCATAGTAAAACCGTTTATCTGACTGTACGTGACAGGTGGTTCACATCGGCGAATAGAAACAAATTCACGATCAAAACGTAGATTAGCTCGCCGTCGTACATATTTTACGTGTTCTATGACGTTGTCGATCGTCTGCGACGTATGCCCCCGATACGGTCAACGCTCCAGTCGATCGTTAATATTTATATCATCGATACGGAGAACGATTAATTCAGCTTTATCGGTAACAGTGTGTGGCGTGCGGTTTCTGAAACTTTACGTCACGATATATCTGTTTCCCCTGTTTTTCGCTTAAACTTTCCTAATAGGAATACTAGTATGAAAAAATAAAAACGGGTCATTAATCATTTCGAATCGCTACACTGCTTAACGTAAATTAAATTTAGTACGGCTTAATTTGAAAGAGAACAAACGTAGCCTAAATGAAACTTGACGACCTGATTTTATTAAACTTTGTTTGTAGGTTTCACTTTTTATGTATTAATTTCTACACTATGGATGTGTACAAATCATTAAAATTTTTACCGACTAATTATTAAAAATGGGAAATAAATCGAAACTTTTTTTATATAGAGGATTTATACAGAATTTTACTTAAAGTTTCTCTGTTATTACATTTTTAAGTCCTACAGTTGCACATTTATAAAAGTCTTTAAAGTTGCCGTTTATTATAGAGAATAAAATTATGTTTTCCTTAAAAGTTGTTTCAAGGTCACCTTATATATTTATTATAAGTGAATTAACTATCGTAAGTATGTAACAAGAAGTGGATTCTGTGAGCTATAGTACAGTACAGTGCACTCAAGGTCACACGCAGGCAAGTGTTACCTGAACAAATAAGAACAGAGATTTCAGATAGTCCGTAGATTATTTAGAGGACACGTTCCAAGTTTGCGGTCGCTGCTATTAGGTGCAGTTGTCAGTTTCAAAGTGACCCATAAACTTTCGCTAATCGTGTAATGTACTCCTCCTGATTGTAAATGGTACAGGCAGAATTATATATCTTTGTCCTTGTCTATTTACCTTATGACCATAGATAGTGTGAAGGACAATTTCAAACGATTTAATCTTGTTTTCATACCGTTGTAAAAATCAGACGGGAAAAGAAAATGCGCTAATAAAATAGCTTAATAATGAGCGTATGGAAGAAAATTCTAAATCTTGTTAACAATAGGAATTTTAATAACGTTAATAATACAATTGACTGTCAAACTATATTAACTGCAATTCTTGATGCAAAGGGCAGAATAGGAAATGGTTTCTCGTGTAGTATAAAATTATTTACGAAGTCAAGACTGTATTCTACGACTATTTGAGTAGCTTCGACATAAAACAAAAACATTTAATTGTGAATGCATTTAATAGTGTATACCTTATTCGATTTCATTGATAACGATTGTTTGATGCATCTTCAAATAAATTTCCTAATTAATTACACGGAAAATGTTTTACTTATCAAAAGAAGATAAAGAATATTTTAATCCAATTTCGTTGATTTGTACATTTTTCACTTGTCTACTTACTGAAAATTGGTCTCAAACAGCCATTTCCTTCCGTAAACTAGATTTCAACCACAAACAATTCAACGGAAACATTAACTTTAACAAACCGATCAGTCCTTCGATGAGATACGCTGTCAGTACACGCTGCCGACTATTCCACAATTTTTTTAATCACGATATGCACGGTCAGATTCTAGAATTATAAACGATAAACCCGATCTGGCTGGATGTTTGAGTTACGCTGTTTGATCCCGGGTTGAATGTTTAACCGTGAGTAATGTCAGCAATCTTGACGGTATCCCGATATCCGTACTAGGATCTCGAACGGGTGTCCGATAGCAGGAGTAGCTCATCTTTTGCATGATTCAGTTGTCTGTCAGGTGCGAGACGCGTTACACCGACCCCTGCCGCGCTACCGTTTCCCTGTAATTCTTTTCCGTCTGTTGTCAATGTCAGTACGATTAAAGGGAGAGAAATATGAATCTGTCAAAGTGGAATTTTGTTTCCGTGGTGATGGTGAGTAAAAGTCAATACATTGATTGGCATTTTCTTCGTAAAAGTCTTCTGCGTGCACGGTACAGAAGCGATAAAATTGTTGAACTGTCTAAGTATACAGTAAATTTTCGTTTAATGGTAAATTGAAAAGATACAATGAATTTTCTTCAGAAAAAGTTATCTTTCTATAAAATAAAGTCTAAACTGTTGTATGTTTTTTAATTTCAGATAAATATTTAAATAACAATATTAATTTTAGTCTCTTCTTATTAAAGAATTTTCTTTATCTAAATTTTAAGTGAGGCTTCAGAAAACTTATTTTTTAGTTTTACGTATAATTTTCAGGTATATACGTACATAAGGATTGTAGCAAAAATTAATTTCGTGTTATCATATATCATACACAGTGTCTCAAGTTGGGTAGTAAAGTGATTGGGAGGTGATTCTATAAGAACAAAGTAAGTCGAAAAAAAAGAATAAATATTGTTCGGTTGAGGTTTCGTTTTCGAGAAAATTAGGTCTGAGCATTCATCTGAAACGCGTGTATTCCTTTTGGCAATAAATAGAAACGGTCTGCAGTGAACAGACGCGTTAACCAAGTCATTGCCTGTGTATCCAACAAACTTTAAAATTTGATTATCTTTAAAACAAAGTATCACATGAAAAAAAATTTATTCTTCTTTTCGATTTATTTTTGCTTATAGGATCACCTCTCGCCTAATTGTACTATCCGACCTGAGACACCCCATATATGTTTTAATCTATTTCAAGGAATCATGAATTAGTTTTACTGTCAACGGACGTAGTACCACTTGAAGAATTCGTACCGTGCCCTAAGTTAATATATGAGTAGTGTCCAATATCAATAATAATTTACTGTCAGTGAAATCATTATTTCATATATACCAACTTAAGGGGATACACCATCTGGTAGACCGAAAAAAAATAAATTAAAAATTTTGTCACATGTAATTACTGAATAAAATATTGGGATCTTTTTAAGGGAAATTAGGCAACATTTTTACTTTCTTTTCGTAGATTAGTTATTCTTTAAAATTAGAAAATTACGGAGTTATACAACAATGTCTATCCTCACGTCTGGTATGATCTTGTTAGCCAGCAGCCAACAGATCTCCGAAACTATTCGTCCGATTAACTTTAAATTTGTACATATTATTCCTTATAAAATTAAAACGTAAACTTAATAATAAAGAAATGGCAGCTTTATAAAGAACAACATTTTTTCACTCAAAAATATTAACCTTGAAAATTCATAAAAATTAACAAATTAATATATCAAAAAAATTGTAAACTACATCAAAGATAATTTTATAAGGAATAATGTTTCCAAATCTGAAGTTAATTGGGTGAATAATTTCGGAGATTTGCTTGGTGCCGGGTGCCGGCTGACAAGATCCTGCCAGACATGACGGTAGACAAAGTTGTATAACTCCGCCATTTTGTAACTAATGTGTGAAAGTGAAATTAAAATGTTACCTAACATTCCTTAAAAAGATCCTAATATTTTATTCCATAATTATCTGAGAAAAATAATTTTAAATTTACCTATTTCTTTTAGGTTTACAAAATGGTGTAGCCCCTTAGATGAAGGGTAAGAGGAAAAACAGAGGATGTTCGTACTTATTGATTTTAGGGGGAATAACTCATTCCGTCGGTGGCACTGAGGCTACAGAATTGTGGAATTACAAAGGTTCACACCGTAGAAATATCCACCTAAGATAACAGTAAAGATTTGATGTCACTGATTAAAAACCGGAAAGGAAGCTAATAAAAACAGCTTTTCTCGATAAAACTTTTCGTGACATACTTTATTTTCCCGTTTACCCTGCAAGCATTCCATCGTCACGTTTTCATTCCTGTCTCACCAACTGCTAAAACCACGGATGAGGCAGAGTTCATCCCGCAAAAGGCTTTTGTTTACAACTTTCCTAATCTTGTGTCCGCGATCGGAATTCTTATCGCAGCTATCGTTAATCTCCACCGGTATCCCGGCGAGTATGCCAGGCTCCGGACAGCAACAGCAGAAACGTCACGTACCGATGTCCTCGGCGAACCAATCACCTAACGTGCCACCCTACTGGGAGCATATTCTCCGTGAGTTCGTGTACAAGACGATCTCGCAGCCACCACTGGACAACATCAACCTGTACAAACGTCTGTTGAACGCGCCGTTTTACGGCGGTCCGTTCGCAATGCCACCAAACGACGTGGCTAGCGTCGTTCTGTCGCGTGGCGACGTTTATTATCTACCGAATGGCCATTGGCTCCTGTGTCAGGAGGGATGCATCGACTGCGAAGTGTGCGTCGAACACACACATCCATCGCTGAAGTGGGTCCTACGGAGGATCAAGAGGACACCGGTTCACGGCCCACCGCGACAGGATCTACAATTGACGGTGATCCCCCAGATCGATGGTAGCTACCACATGAAAAACCTATGGCCCAGGTCGTACGTCTACGTGACCACTCAGGCCGAGCAAACTGCGTACGGGAACGAGAGAGTGGCCAGCTATCCTGGCGGCGGGACTGGTTACGAGAATCCCGAGGATGGTTCCGCGGGGCAGCACCGGAGATCCAATAATTTCTGGAGATTCGTCGAGAGGGGCTCGTTGGCCGAGCGACGCGTGATCGGAGAACAGAACAACGGGTCAGATCCTCGACAACACTTCGAAAGTGGTCCCCGTCAGAGTCATGACGTCACTGTGACAACGGTGACCGAGGGGACTACGGAGGGGGTTACGACGTTCAATTCTGGGATACCGCCTCGAGTGAAACCCGATAGACGGGAAGTGAATGATTCGACGCTGACTGGGTCGAACGAGAATGGGAGGAATCGATTGAAACCGTTGATACCACGGTTGATCCTTGGAACTGATCAACTGGGCCAGAGACACTTGGTGCACGTGGTGCCTGCTGATGCGGCTGGCAATAGGAACTTGACGAGGTCTGTTCTATCGGATGGTCTGAACGCTGCTGGTGTTGGCCAATATCAGAATAGGACTGCCTATCAGAAGATTCTGAAGAGGATATATGATTCATTGAGCAGCAACAGGAGGTCCATTGAAAGCTTTCTGGAGACCCCGTCGCAGATAGGTAATTTTGAAATACACATGGTGTTTTTAATACGTTCAGCACGGCGTGATTCACTGGTGGGTCATTGGGTAATGCACTTATTTGCCGATGTGACACACGGATGAGTCACCATAGGTAAAATATTTATGATAACGATAGAAACTAATGCAATGTAGCAGTAGCACCACATATAATGCCACATTATTTTACAATTTCCTGTTAAAAAAATCTTACATCTAATAGGTAAAAAGATTGGAAACTGGAAAATTAGAGGGAGTAAACGTTTTATGAATTTCATTGTCGTCCTGACCGTGTCAACAATTATCTCATGATAACGGAAACCAGCCAGGAATTCCTTTCTAGTTTTTCTGTATATACACAAGTTTTATTTTTTATAAAGATTAAATTGATATCATTCAAGTCTGCGTAACACATAGGTCAGAGAAACAAAGCATAATCATACATTCTCAAGTTCGTTTATTTAACTTTATTGTCGCGTCCGTCCGCGCGGATTCTCTTTCGAATCCGCCTGGAGTTGTAAATTCCAGGCTCGACCGTCGTGGTATGCGTACAGTTGCGACTGTTGCCCGCCAAATTAATATTAGGAAACTGTTTCAATATTCTCTTAGTGAGAAGGAATCGTATAATTGCTCGACCGGTGGACCTGATAATTCGCGAGTTTATAATCGTGACTTGTTGATACGAGAGTTCCGACGACTGATTGGAGTCCTAAAGACTGCTCGAATACGAGTGTTTGCGAGTGAATGTTGTCGAATGCTGAATTGTCGATACGAGTGCGAGTACTGTCGAATTACGAATATTTGAGTCCGTGTGACTCTTGTCGATACGAGTGCGTGCGAGTGAATGTGTACGAATGAATGTTCGAATACGAATGTTCGAGTTTCGTGTGACGTCGCGCTTCTTTCAAGTTCGCCGAAGGCGTTACCAAAATTCGCCTCCTTATTGTCCCGGGGGGGGGGGGGGGAGGCAAATTCCTGGGTTTTTCCAAGTGACGTGGAGGTGGAAAACGTCTCCTTCAGGGCGAAGCGGACGCCAGAAAAATTTCACGCACGTGGTCAGGGTGCGACTTGACCGCGACGAATTTTCGAGTCTCTCAACGGTAGGGTTTATGGCTATATTATCTGCGAGTCAGCGCGGCCTGGTAAGGCCCGGAGCGGATGGGTCCCAGGTTACCGTGCGCATGTGGCGGACTGCAGACCAAATGTTCGAGTCTTTTGTCTCTATTCCCTTTTGTCAACGAAATTGAAATTGCAAGGGGCCGATCTCGAAAATGTTTAAACTGCCTGGACGAAGGAAAGAAAATAATCAAAAATAACGGTATCGTCGAACTCTAAAGCCGTCGTTTCGGGTCTACGACGGAACACTTATAGTCTTCGGTTCCTTCGATTTCGTGAGTTAAAACTAATATTAGAAGCTTTAAATTTAAAAATCTTCCATTTTATTGTATTTTACACAGTTATATAACCCGCCTACTGCATCTCTCTGGCATTTTATATAAAAATTTATTTTTATAAAATCAATGATCAGTAGCCATTTTAGAATTATTTAAAATACTTAACTAAACTTTTTCTAAACGATGCGTTTGTTCACGATAAATAACGAACTTAGAGTCACAGTAACACCGTTTTTCTAATGTTTGTGTGTCATTTAAAGAAGTTTCGTACTGTCGATCAGCAAGAATGTTTTCATATATTGTCACTAAAGTGATAAAATACCTAAGTGTCTATTGCAACAGAGATGCTAACTAGCGGTACGAGCTATAAGTGATGAAGTCCGAACTTCAGTTTTAATAATTATCTTCGTTTCTGTTTTAGAACGTCGACAGACTGAAGATCATCAGCTACAAGAAACAAGGAATAGTCTTGCAGCGTTGAGACAATTACACAGTCTGCATCGGGATTATAATGAGGGAATTACAAATGGAACTATAGCGAAACGATGGCCCCTTGTTTTAACTTGGAATAGACAGAGGAGAAAGTCCGACGATGAGGCGAATTCAAATGCTATTAAAAGTAATATAATTAATCTGAATCATACTTCGAACAATAGCCACGATTTGGATTGGAAAACTCGGAATGCTTTAATCAATGTAACGTTTGATCGCGTCGCTAATGAGAACACGAATGTTTCCGAACATTTTAATTCGCATGTAATTAATTCTTATTATTACAACGGAAACGCGAGCAATGGCAATTCGAAAACCAGTGATCCCCGCATCACGATTGAGGAAAGCAAATTTGAACCGCGAATGTTTAAAATAATTTTCACTACCGAATCAACTACGAAATCTTCGAATAAATCTGACGTAGTCATGAATTACAGAAGAAATAGCGTACCAAATAGGGTGAGATTGAATTATAATGACACTAGAAATACTTCTACATGAAAATACAGAAATATTCACTTTTTTAAAGATGAAACTTATCCCTAATAGAAAAATGTATAGTGAAAAAAGTACATGTAAAAGTAGAACGATATAGTAATGTAATTAATCTTAACTTTGCTATGTACGCCGTATTACGATCGTAACTGTAAGGTAAAGCAATAGGGTATGAAAAGTTCTATGAATTTATAAAGTTGTATATGAATTTTTCACGGAACGGCACGTTACTCCTACTTTGTAGATTATGCAATTTATATTTAAAGTTTTCGTACTTTCAACTGCGAATAATTTTCAATTTTTCACACCATTCCATCAAAATCAACTACAAGTATCAACTAATGACTTCTGTTAGATTATTCTTGATAACATCTTCAATTTTATGGTTGCTTGCATTTTTTCATTGTAATTAAATGTATCAGCTAATAAAGGTTCTTATTTCGAATTCAATAACCTAAACATATACATATAAAGTAACCTACTATATGTATCAAGAAATAGATCACTATTTCTCGTGAAATTCCATGTCTGTCACCGCAATAATTCAAATCCCTATGCTTTCCTAACAATATTTGAGATTTGTCTTAAATATTCTGCGCCATTTTCAATACACAGAACATCGAAGAGGTGTTCTGAACATAAACTGTTCTGACACTATCAAAACCATAGTGAATTACTTATTAGAGACATTTATGAATTTATGTAACTTACAATTAAATAGATTACTATCGTTAGTCAGTATAATCCTCCACTATTCCACGATCACCGCACATACGACTTCGAAACATTTTTCAAGTAAACAGCAAAATTGCAGAAAAGTGAATGAATTTTTAGATCGTCACAGTACCACGAAATTTACTTAAAATATTCTATTACCCCGTATTTCATATAAGTACTCATGTACGTTTTAGGCGCTCAAAACCCGCAGTCTACTGATCGCATAATAAAACAAACTAATAGCGCCGACCCTAGCGATGTCACTTAACACCGTAAGCCCGCGGGTAGTTCCGTCGTCGGCACCGCTAAGAGGATCGACGATCCTTAATCAGGCCTGGCGCGATCGTTTAAAACGATTATAACCCCTCCTTGCCTCCCCCTTCCTTCCCGGTATCACGAACCATCGCACCAGTCTCACGCATTATCCAGCGAGTCGGAAGGGTGGCAATGTGTCCCTCCGCGTGTGACCTCCACGAACGTGCTCAACCCCTTCACCGTAATTGCGTGGCAATGGAAGCGGTGTGTGCTGCACGTATACAGTATGTATTCACCGTGTATCCAATTGTGGCGCAACCACAGGGAACATGGTTCCTCATGAACATTGTAGCACAACAGAGAAGGAGATGGGTATCAGGAAAATTGTAGGACTATCGAAAAGAAGATGATTCCTTACGGAAATTGTAGCATATTCGAATAGGAGATGGTTCCTTATAAAAACTATGGCACAACTATAAAGGAGACGGTTCTTCATCAAAATTGTGATATACCCTAAAAGGAGATGGTTCCGCATGAAAATTGTAGATCGAATTTGAAAATTTGTGGAAAATTGGGATATCTAAATGTTCAGTATTGGTATATAAGTTCACAATATTATTTAACCATGTTATATATCATTTATAGCGTACCATGTGCGTGCCATCTGTGTTGACTCTAACACAAGTAGAAAGACCGTGTAGTAATTAGTCACAGTAAATCATTTTCAAAAGCATTATAAATTTTCTCGGAGTGGAGAGTCTATATGAAAAGATTCTATTCTATAGTTACAATTTGTTTGTCCATGTATCAAAGAGGTATTAATCTACCATTGGCTCTGTTGATTCTAAGTAGAAATAACGTACATTAATCAGACGCACCAGTCAACCATATTCAAAAGCACTAAAAATTTTCTCGGTATCGCGGCCCCACACGAAAGAATTCTATTCCAAATTTATAACTTGTCTTTCCACATACTATAGTAATACTAACGTCGTGTGTTGCTTGTAACTAGAACTAGTACGTAATAGTTTGACAAGCTAGAGAACACTACTCAAAAGCACACTGCTTGAATTCCATCGTATCAAAAACAGAACCTGATACGAGCAAAACTTCATTCTACATTTCCAACTTAATCATTAGACTGCGGATTTTGTGCATTGATCGCATAAACGATTCTCTAAAATTCAGTACATTTAACCTTCTAATAAACGTCTCCAAGGTTTTTACTTTCTGCCCAATCTTATTGGAGTTTCAATGTGACACTAAAATTTCTCTTCGATCCAATCTCTTTAAAGTAGTCCACAATACTCGACATTTGTATGAACATCCGCAGTCTATCACCATCCAATCGGTTCTGTTAAGATTTCTGATACACCTTGTATACACATGTACGTCTCCCTATCCTCCTACACCATCCTTGATGCACGGAGCTACGCGTCTGTGGATGTGTTCGCGATCCTGTCGGTGTTCCTGCGCGTGGGTTGAATTTGTGCAAGCACGTAGCACCGTATACCGCGGATCCCGAGATGGGATGGGGTTTAAGAGGGTCAAGGTGGGTGGTGGGTGAGACGACTGGCTCAGGCGGTAAGGTTTGAGGAGCAGAGGTAAGCCGGCGCTTATATTTAATTAAGAAGTATACGGGTTCTAGCGGAGAGAGAAAGTCGGATGACGCAGGCTCGAAGAAACTCTCTCTCTCTCTCTATTTCTCTCTCTCTGTCTCTTTCACTCACCCTCTCTTTCTCTCACACTGTACAGAGTAAGGGAGTGGGTCTCCGTTTCTTGTCTAATTATCTACCCTTCGCGTCCTGCCACGTTCACTTTCTACGTTTGATATCTGCTCCGCGATCCAGTCTTCCCATCATCCTCCTCCCTTCGAACCCTATTTCCGGCCAACTTGCCTCGTCTTTCTCCATTTCCTCCGAGTCTGATTTCAGTTTCATCCTTTTCTTCCGCCCCTTTTTTTCGCCACTCCTTCCCCGTCATCTTTTCTCCCCGGCTCGGGCCTATTTCTTATCGAAGTCGAAACGATCGGCCGTCGTCATCGGCAATTGCGAATCTCGAAGGGGCGACGTTTAGCGGTGCGTCTGAAACTTTTTAATTAGATCGGACCCCGGGCCACCACTTTCGATGATTAACCGTTAACGCGATCAGGATCGATCGAGATAGAGGGTAGGGATAGTTTTCGTGGCTTTACAGTCACGATGAACGATATTCTTACCCCCTCACCCCTGTGTTTCCGTTTCTGCTTCCGTCTCTCTTTTCAATTCCGTCTTTTCTCTGTCCTTCCCTCGGCTTTTCCTTGCTCTACGTCCACCCTCTCGTCTTCCTTGGCCTTTCTAACCGCGCGCAATCGGTACCCCGGTGCAAAAACGATCGATTTGATCGCCGGTAGATTGGTTTTAACGAGTTTCCTTTTAGCACGGTTTATTGAGAATCGTGGACCCGCCTCCGACGAAGCCCCCAGAAATCGAATATGCCGGGGAAATTTCGACGGGAGATCTTAATTAAAGACGTTTCAGTGCCCGAAAAAGTGGAAGCAGCCATGACACCGTGTTCGGTATTATTGCTTCGTTCTATTATCGTGACTGTCGTCGATTCTGTTAATGACTTTGCTGTGTATATAATTCGAGGGAACGTCGGCAGATGCCGCAGAGTCGGCCAGCAACTGGTTTTTAATAGAATCCTCGACCGTCATTGACCGACAAAATGGCGTCGATTGGTTTCGGGAGTAGCAGGAGTTTGGTTGCAAGGAATCGATTAACAATTTGTTTGTAGGATACTATCGATGGATAAATAAAGGGTGAAGAAGTTAATGTAACCTAACTAAATATTTTTCATGTGGTAGTAGATATGTTTGATGAAACAGTTTTACTTTTCGTGTTTCTTCCTGACAGAAAGGTACTTCGACCATGTTACACCGCCCTTAGATCAGGCACATCTCATTTCGACAAATTTATCTAAGAGTTCAATTTAACGGTTACAAGAATAATTTATGAACAGAGTTTGACGGAAACCGTCGTCTTTAATCATCGCTTCTGTTTTCATTCCGCATTAGTTCTTCACTTCTTTAAACACAACGCCGCACAGTGGTTCCAATGTAACTTTTTGGGGACAAAATTCCGTAACTCAGTGAATTCTCAACAGATTTTTATCTTTTTTTGCTCGTTTTGTCGGGAATTAAATTGGCTAAAATGTCATACAGTCACTTTGAAAATATTCTTTAGGGATTAAAGATAAACCAAAAATTTCGGAAACTTTGGTTTCGAAACAACAACTTTAACAAACATTTGTGTGAAATATATACATATAATTTAAGAACATTATTAATATTTATGTAATTTTTATTTTACCTACATAAGACATAACATATATTTGTTAAGATAAATACAGTAAGCTAAAAACAACAAATTCTGAAAACATGAAACAAAAATATATATTTAGTGGTAAATTATAGAATTTATTCATGATATATTGTAATTTTATTAATTTTTTAACAAATATTTAAAAAATTAAATCAAGATAACATAAAAAATTGATCAAATAATGAAAATTTTATCAAGAAAACGTTAGCCTTCTTTCATGTTTTCTATATCTTTCTCCAAGTCCTTTCCTTTCCTTCTCAAGAATTTTTCTACTAAAGTTTTCATCAAAAAAACTTGTCAGAACAAAATATTGAAAAAACCGAGTTTTGGCCGCAATTCAGGCATTGGAACCACTGTGCGCCGTGTCAGTCACCAGTGACCAACACTAAATTTTCTGCTCGCTTATCGATGACTGAGGCCATTAAGTGTAAGAAGTTACCATGGTATTTCAAATTAATGGTGTGATTATGATAGCAGTAAAAAAGGGAGCCTAATTTTTGGTAATATTAGCCATTCTAATGGAGTTTGTTCAAATATATTCTATAATAATTAGTATTAGTATTTTCGTCGTAACATTCCTTGGAAAATTTCTGATTTCAGACACTTCTATTTGTTTGTGCAATTACTAATTAGTGATATAAGTTTCGACGTTTATCACAGTGATATTACGTGACGTAAACGGTTAAGTCAACAAAATCAGCTCGGTGCTTAAAGTGTTAACATTATACTCGTCTTATTAATTATTAATTATATGTACATATACTGCTCTTATCGCATATAAAATTGTAATTACGTGACAATGAATTGATAAACAAAACAACTTAAAAATATGTTTATATCTGTTGAAAAATCTTCGAAAGGTCGTGCAACGGGTTTTCGCATGTTTCCATTAGAATAATTATTATTTACGTTTCCAACGCAACATAAAGAAAAGCGACAATACGTCGCGTGCGCGCTAATAAATTAACATTATAATTAGCTTGTTCATAATTAAAATATGTTTTAAGAGAGGGGTATGGGCAGAGAGATAATGATACGTTTGCACGTGCATAAAATTAGCAGGATAAATTATATTAAAACGACAGATTTTGTTCGCGCGTAATGTCCGTTGGAAAACTGAAAAATCACATTCTTTCGCGTTCATGGACGAGATCGATCACGTGCACGTGCACGTTGTCACTATTTGTGTACGCGGGAATGTTCCAATTTAATGTTAATAAAGTATGTAATTTGTTCGATTAAATTTACGTTCGTCGAAATTTCCCTTGAATAAGCTAAACACGCTGGCCCCAATAACTCGGAATTATTATTCTTTTCGTCCTCTGCGGTTGACAGTTCCAGGCCCCTGTGGGCTGACGCGCGAAATTATAAATTTTCAAAATTCAATACTTCAAAGATCGTTGACCAGCAGCGAACCGTTGGGAATGAAAATTTATATAATGTTTGTTTCAGTGGCCGGACAAGGGATTTAAATGTTTCCTCTGTTCCGAGGGTTGTTATCGCGCCACAGCATCGGTTATTATCGTACTTGCCGTGGGTCGTCAACGGAAAAACGATTTAAAAAACGTTTTATTAAAACGTACGCTTACGGAGGGGAAAAAATTGAAGCGTGCGATAGAGAGGCGCGTGCTTCCGTCGAAACGGGTCGGAA